AATTAAATATTATTTAAGTAAATTTTTTTATTTAATATATATTGTAATTATATTTTTAAAATAATAACAAAATAAAAATAAATATATTAAATAAATAATATTTTGTATCGTATTCAATTTAAGAATCTATAAATGAAAACTTTTTTCTTTATAAATATAATATAACTCCATATTAATTAAAATCTAATATAATTTTTAAATATTAAAAGGTTAACAAAATAAAAATAAATATATATATAATATAATATTTTGTATCGTATTCAATTTAAGAATCTATAAAAGTTAAATCTTATCTTATTATAAGTTTTAATTGTTAAAGAACACCATCAATACAACATTTTTTTTCTTCTTCTTCTTCTTCTTCTTTTTCTGAAATTTTCACTTCTAGACACATTAATCGATCATGCATGCCAGCAAACGAGCAAAATATCTTTGGGGGTCAATCTATAAAAATATCCTCCACCTTGTAAGATATTTATGTTGGCTCCACGGATAGTACCGACCACCTGCACTGACAAGAGCGACAGTGATGGAGACAATTAGACAAAGAATGAGAACAGCACCCTTATCTTGGTAAAGGAAAAAATTCAAGAAATTCTTTATATGACACAAGATTGGATATAACGTTTTTACAATTAATTGTGAATTTATACCACAAGATAAGAGAATTTTTAATTTTATATCACTTAATTTATTCTACTCATATATCATATAATTTAAATTAAAAATTACTGCTCAACTTTAATTGAGCCATTAACATAGCTTATATTGCCTAGTTTATATCATTTTAATTATCAATATTCTACTCATTTTCAGTTTCTTGACAGGAAATGACATAAATCCCCTATTACTCATTTATCAGCGTTTTATTAATTGTATAAACATAATTTCTAATTTAGACTAGCAATTTTTTTTAGTTATTTAGAGGATGAAAGAATATTTTCTTATTAAACAATATATATGATGAACTTTATAAATTTATATACAATATCAAGATTTGAACTTTTAATTCTAAGATGAGACAATATAATTAAACTTTAATATTGCAATGAAAACTAAAGTAGGTGTTTAGTGCATCCGACTTTTTTGACCCGATTATTATAAGTAATGTTGTACGTGCATTCCCAACCCAAGAGTTGGGTTTCGAATTCTCCACTTTTAGAGTTGTCACCATTCAAAGAAAAAAAAAGGCAAGTATTTGGCGAGTAAAAATTTAGGAAGAAAGGGCTTGACTCTCAAGATCTAGGACAAATTATTTGTTTGCAAATTAGGCGTAGAACCAATGGCATGTTAATTTCAGAAGAAAGAGGACATGTTAATTCCAACGAAAAGAGTATATTTCTTTTAAAATAAAAATTTGAGTTTAAATTTTATAAATAAAAAATAATTATAGAAAATTTTTTTTATAGGATCTGATATGATATTATTTTAAATTAATTAAAATTTAATATAATATTTTAATATTAAATAATTTAATTATTTAAAAAAGAAAAAGAAAAAGAAAAAGTGAAAAAAGGGGATAGAAGTGCTCCTCCAAGTTTGCCGGTGGTCCAGTGGAGCCGTGTAGACCCCTAATCTAAGAAGTTGCACTCGATGACTTCGAACAATGGCTATTCTCACCTTGATCCTATCGAATTCCAAGTATGATTAAAGCATGGCAAGTAAAGAAGTTTGAAAAAAATAAATATATATATTATTCGAGGATTATATATAAGCACTCTTTGTGTTTTTTACGTTTAACATTTAGTTATGGAATCGACTTAAATCGTTATCCTTAAAAAAAAAATCTGAACTTTAAAAAAATAATTAAAATCACTTACTCACATGGCCAAGTTCATATATATATATATATATATAAGCGCTTTTCGTAGAGCATAAGGTAGAAAATTATATTTTAGAGTACCCTATTAGTGCATACATTGAATAAGAATTCCTATGTTAAATCAATCAATCATTTAATGTAATCCGGTGAAATCAATAACCTTAACAACTTTGTAATAAATTTAAGATCCATTTCCATAATTAAATCAATATCAGCCTTATAATGTAAGTAATTTCCAAAATCTCTAAATACAGTATATAGTAACAAATACCTAACTGTAATGGCTTTTTTCTTTTTTTTATTAATTTAGTATTCAGAAATCACATTGAATCTTGATTAATTTAAAGTCAAGTCGGGTCAGATCGAAAAACTCTCTCAACACTTATTTTTTCTTTTTCACAATATTCAAACTTAAGATGTTATATAAAAGAAATTAAATACTTTTCACTCAGATCAACAGATGGTAAATTACACAATAAAATACAACTCCCTTTCATCTTTTAACTTATTTAATCGTACGTCGGCATCTCTCTCCTTTTCTTTCTCATAACTTAACAAAGACAAAGAAACAGAACATAAATCCTGAATATCAAGAAGATACATTTAATTTCTTTCAGGGTCTTGAGGAAGTCCGTTCGTTTAATTAAAACCAAAATTGTCAGTTTATCAACTGTATATGAACGAACAATATTATCAGACTATTGTCCAGTGCATTTTGTTTTGGTTTGGAGGGGGTTTATGCTGGTGACGGAGCTCCTCCAGGAGGCGGCGTGTCTCCTGTCGATCCGTCGCACTGCAACGCCTGCGAGATTGTACCATTTGCTTAGTAGATGCTTCAAGTTTTCTCATTTCGTCCATTACAATTTGCCTGTCCCTGCACCCTATGCTGCAAAACCCCTGATCACCCCTACAACATACACCAAAAAATCAATCACGAAATTGTACAAGGATCTCAAAAATTCTGAAATTTTTAAAAGATATATACATCTACCTGTACATGTAGACTTCTTTGTCCAGGCTTAACTTCTTGTTACATAGATGACATGATTTGAGAAAGCAAGATTCAGGGGTGGCTGCTGCGGCGGCGGCGGGCGGTGGGTTAACTTTCTTTAATGCAGATTTAATGACGACGTTAATGGGTTTTCCGTGGGAGATTTGTGTTAAGATTCTCAAGCCGACATCATCTCGTCTCTTCTTCTCAGTATCACTGGAAGGAGTCTTGAATTTGAGAAGCATGTCGGTGTGGTGTGGTGTGGAGAAACAGGGAGGAAGCAGAGTAAATATGATATTGATTATTGAAGGAGTCGGGAAGGTGGAAGTGATGGGTATTTAAAGGCGATTTGGTCTATCTAAATCGTCCTCTATTTTAATAATCAGATTTTTTGGATCCCTTGCAGAATAGTCCTCAACTTTTGAACTGCAGTAATTTGGTGTTTTCTCTTTAAAATTTTCCACTGTGATCCTTTTTCATTCACTAATTTAATAAGGCTACATTTGAGATTGCTTTTATTATATGTTTTTATTTTCTTTTTTTCTCACAATCATATGGTACTACAAATGTTAGGTTTGTTTAACATGTACCTTAGTAGACGGGTTAATGGTGTAATGGATGCATTTTTTAAAGGCAAAATACCCAAATCCACCCCCAACTATAGTGGCAGGGACGGATCCACCCCCGAACAAAAAACGGGGACAAATACACCCATTATTTGACAGGCCACATCAGCTGCTGTCATCTTCCCATTAATGGCGTGCTTACTCAGACGTTTTAAATACGGTGGAGGCTTTTTTGCCTGCGTGGATGCTGAACTGGCCCATTCCCGCCCATTTTAATCATACGTGGCGATTTTTCTCCCCTTTCCATTACACGTCAACTAGGCCCCATCTATAAAATTCCATAAAACCCTTAAACGGCTAAAACCTAACTTATTTCTATGTCTTCCCTTTTCCTTCCCTCTTCTCTTATCTTGAAATCTAAAATCGTGGGTTAGGGTTTCTCTTTATCCTCTAAATCTAGGTTAGGAAAAGCTAATTCTATGGCATCTTCCTCTAATTCTCGATCATCAGGACTTGAAGCTTCTTCTGGGGTGAGGGATTTTGGGTTGATTGAGCACACATACGAAGGGCGTCAGATGTTTTGCGAGTGTGGATTAAAGGCACCGAGGTGGACTTCATGGAGACCATGGAGCATTGGTAGACGCTTTTATGGGTGCCCAAACTTCTTGAATGCTGTACGCATAATTTATTCATTATGGGTATATAATTTTGTTTTATTTTGTAATAAATATTTACACTTGGAAATATTTTTCATGTAGGATTTGAGGTGTGCATACTTTGTTTGGCATGACTTTGAACTAACAATTGAGAGAGCTACTGAGCTTTTAAAATTGTTGATTAACGAGAAAAAGTGTATGAGTAACGAAATTGCAGCTTTGAAAAGGCAATTAAAACAAAGAAAGTTGGGTGGAACTGTACCTGTGTTAGATGAGTCACCTGTATTGGTTGAGTCAAGCCATGCCACATCAAGTGCTAACCTGCAAGAATATGGCCAAAGAAATGGAGTTGAATTGGAGGAAATTATACAAAATTTTGTGTCAAGAGCTGTTGATGATGTGAAGAGAAAGATGGATGCCTCAGTTTTAGCTTCTGTCCATTCTGAAATTAGGAAATTAATCTGTACTTCTATACTGGCTTTGGGGGTTGGGTTTGTATTGGTTATGTTCATTTGGTTCTTATTTTGAGATCCTTGCTGTAAGGTGTATGGGGTGTCATATTTTGTTTGTTTGTTGGGGGCATGGCATATTATGCTTAGTTGTAAGAACATTTTGGTCATGTCCTTAATGGCAGTAATCAAATGTAATTGACTTTTTTTGCAATGGACAATAGCTAAATCACAATCATGATGTTACCCTAAAACATGCAACTATACAAGCAAATTTGATTGAATATAATGCCATTGAAATAAAGCAAGACAAGACATAATAAAGCAAGGCATTATAACCACATGTACATCCCCAAAACAAGGCATAATAACCAATTGTCAAATGTGATTACAAACCACCAACATATACATACAAAAGTTCAAAGTACATCCCCAAAACAAGAAAATAAATGACATTGAGTCATGCTTTCTCTTTTCCCTTTATAGATGATTGCTTTGTCTTCTTTCTTGAGTCATTTTTGCCTTCATTGATGACTACTCCTCCAACCTACATAATATACACACTAGTCATTAAACATTTGAAATTTAATATGTGAAATAAATATTCAAGTACAAAAATTCTAAAAAAAAACTTACACAATCAATCTTTCTTTTGGCCCTTGTTTCCCTTTTAAGTGGTTCCTTGCCTTTAGCATCATTCACCCTTTTTTTGGCAATTTTTTCAGTTTGTTCTTGCACCTTCTTCCCTTTTCCTTTTCCTGTAGTCACCTTGGGTTTTTGGTTGGCCTTTTTCTTTTGATGCTTTTTATCAACCTGAAATTGCAACATTGAAATTAAAGCCAACAAAAAAGATAAAAATTTACATGAGGTAGTGTAAACTTACATTGCTTTGACTGGTCCCTACTAACTCCTCCTTTCTGGGACATCCAGCTTTATTGTGTCCCTGTTGACCACACAAGCGACAACTCATCACAGACCCTTGCTTGGACAACCTGGTGAATTTCCCCACCTTAACTTTCTTAGGCTCATGCTTATCTTTTCTTCTATTCCTCCTTGGTCGTCCTGGTGGTGTTCTCAACACTGGTGGTAAACAACCTCCTTCTGGTCTCCTCTTCAAGACCTCATTGCCTCTAAGGCACTCCAATGTAGTCCCATAAGCTTGCAGGTACTTTTCCTTCTTATAGTGCTCATGAACAAAATCTTCATAATTCCAATTCATGTACCTAGCAACTGCCAAGACATGAGGGCAGGGGATTCCAGTTAAATTCCATTCTCTGCATGAACAATTTTTTGCTATGAAATCAATGACATGTGTCACATCAGCAGTAGTATCACACATAGCAAATGAAGGGTCCCCATTCCACTTAACATAGCACTGCATTGACCTCACGGTATTTTCCTTTATCTTTTTCATGACTCTAGGTGAAATATCATTCGGCCATGTCTCTGCAAACAATCTTTTTTCCCTGAATCTCTCCATCAACTGGTCAATTAAAGCTCTAATCATAGAAATGATTGCCTTACACCTAGCAGCCAAAATCCACGAATTGAATGTTTCACACATGTTGTTATCAACAACATCACACTTACAGTCTTCATCGAAGAATGCCTTGCACCAAAACCTTCCTGGCAGATCCATCATCTCAGCATAAGCTTCCTCGGATACTCCCCTCAACTCCTCCATTTTCTCCAGAAATTCAATTTGGTATGATGCCCTTGCAGCTATCCAAAAGGCCAGTTTGATATCATCCCCTCTGTGCCTCTTTGCGAGGTTGCAGTATAGGTGTCTCGCACAATATTTGTGATTTATAAGTGGCAAAACCTCTGCCTTTGCACAGATAATTCCCTACAAGATTAATTTAATAAATCAAGTTATTTAACAACATAACAAGTAAAATATCAAGAATATACAAAATAATGAAAATACATACTGGATGCCTGTCAGATATCATTGTATAACCTTGCCCAGTTCCGAGCTCCAAATCAGATGCAAGCCTTTGCATGAACCATGTCCATGAATCATTGTTCTCAGATTCGACTACAGCATATGCAATTGGGTACATTTGGTTATTTCCATCACGACCAACAGCAGACAGTAGTACACCCTTACAAATTCCCTTCAGAAAACAACCATCAACTCCAAAGATTCCTCTACAACCATTCTTCCAACCATCTTTGATAACTTTCAAACAAACATACATTCTCATGAACACTCTCTCACCAACATCATTTTCTTCAGTTTTAATGAAAATTGAGTTTCCAGGATTGACCTCCTTCAAATACCCACCAAATGCATGAATAATGGCATACTCATCCTTAAAACTCCCCTCCATCTCCTTCAACACCATCTTCTTGGCTTTAACACATTTCTTATAATTTATACTAACCCTCAACTCATTGTATGCAAATATCATCATATCTTTGCATTTCAAGAAAGGTGTAGCATAAATTCTTGATTTAAAGTACTCAGCAACCATCACAGCTGTCATCATCTTGTTTTCTGAATTTTTAACACATGTAT